GCTGGGACAGGTGTTCTTCCAACAACGGGCAATGATCCCCAAAGTCTCTGCATTATTTTACCTGCTCCGTGTTCTACATTAGAACCAGTCCAGGTGTTTTTACCTGCTCCGTGTTCTACATTAGAACCAGTCCAGGTGTGTCTAAAGGTTGAAACAACTTTTAGGAACCTATTTTACGCATTTTTCTTGCTGCCGAAACTGGTTGCAGCTTCTATGTTGTGACTAAAATGTTAGTAATTATAAGTTTAACTAATGTTTAGTGTCATTGATTGTTGTTTTGTCTCAAACATGTAAGAAAATGGTGAAAAATGTGTTTTGTTTTGTTCAAGATCTTCAGTTTGCTGTCATAGAGCAGGAAAGAAACCACAACATATTCACATTGAAAAAGCTGTAATCACAGAATTTATACAGTTTTTATTTAAAAAATGTATCTAAGCTGCTTAATTGATCATTAAAATAGTTAGCAACTAATTGATTAGACGTGGCAGCTCTATTATTCATGCATCAGAATGAGTGGATGACATTTAGGAGGGTTGTATTGTAGAGATTACAGCTGACAGGATCATCACAAGAGATATTTTCTTTATGTTGCACATGAACCCATCTGGACATTGTGTTAATAATTACACTGTAGTTGGTAATTATGACCAAAGATGGCACACAAACCAAGCACCTCCGGCCTACACATCAGGAACGACAGTAATATTCCCTATAATCCTGATTTCACTGTAAATCACCAACGTTTCTTTGGGGACAGTTATTCAGTGAGAAGAAATGTTAAACAGAGACAAACTTTGCTGCGACCACAGATGGAAAACTCTGTATTCGGACATTTTCATGAAGCCCACAGAGGTGACCGTCGCTGTTGGCAGGACATCGGAGCGTCTTTTTTTGGTGATGCCATGTTCTCACGCTGCTTTGGTAGTTTGTTGTGATGTTGTGTATTTTTTGGGTGATTTTACGTGTGTGTGTGTGTGTGTTGACTTTGTGTCTCTTCTGACAGTTTCTCAGAGGCTGCTGTGATTTTATTCTCCGCATCAGGCTGATAATCTGAGACATGGCATGTTGTTTGCAGCTGCATGGGGCAGTAGAGAGGCACAGTGAGGAAGTAATGCAATATATAAGGTGCTCTGCTGTAAACGCTTTACTGGCTTCGTGTTTTGTCACAAATAAAACACACAAACGTGTTAAAATGACTCTGCAGTGAGTTTTAGCTGCAGTTCAAAACTATAACTTGTTTAAGAATTACTCAGACTGATTAATCGATTATCAAAAAAGTTGGTGATTAATTTAATAGCTGAGGGTTAATTAATTACTCGTTACCACTTTTGATCAAACAAAACATCTGTACATGACTTTTTAGTGTGAGGAAGATTTTTACGGGCAGTTTTCTTTCATTTTTGCACATTTAAAAAGCTGGAACAAGTAAATATTTGACATTTGTACTTTAAAAAATAACTGAAAAGATTAATTTAATCATCAAAATAGTTGTGAAAATATTTTCAGTTGTTGCAGGTTTTCTAAACCAGAACTGCAGCGAAAGATTATTTTCACTGTTGGCTGTTATCTGGATCAATCGATCAGTTGTTTGCTCAATAAAATGTCAGAACATGTGGATCAGAGTTTAGTCAAATGTCTGGTTTAGTCCGAAGATCTTCAGTTCAGCGTCACGGAGGAAAGAAAGCAAGCAGAAAATATTCACAGTGAAGAAGCTACAATCACAGAATTTAGTTTTTTTTTAATTAAAAAAAAGACTCAGACTAATGAATCAATTAACAGACTAGTTGGAGATGAATTTAACGGTTGAGCACTAATTAATTACTGATTGGAGCTGAATGACATTTGCTGTCACAGCTGATCAGCGACTAAACCATCAGCATGAATCTGGAAACGGTGATCGATCACTGATGAATAAAGAATCAAAATGAAAATTCTGAAAAAGGTCGGAAGATGTGGAGCTGATTAATAAACCTGCAGCGCTAAAACTCTCGTATCTGCTGCGGCTTTATTTCTGTTTTTAAAAATATCACACATGACAAAGACCAGCAGCAGAACGCCACAGACGACTGGATTTAAAATAACTGTTAGTTAATTAACCGTTTTATTAATTTGTTTAGTGGTGAGTTAGCATCTTTTTTGGTGGTTTCGTTGTGAAAACGTAATATAAACGTTTTTCTTGGCTTCTCTCAGTCTGAAATCTGTTCCGTTTGCTGTGACGTTGGAGGAGGATCAATACTCCTGATTGATTATCAGACCTGTTGATTGTGAACGGACTCAGGTGACACATCCCTGAAGGGTTCTGTGTGTTTGGGTCCTGATCTTGTTGTTGGGTCCAGGTGGGTGTGCCGTCGTTAATGGGCCCTGCTCAGGTAAACCAGGTGGCGTCGCGTCCTGATTGGTCGAGCAGGAGCAGGTGACCCTCGGTGTTTGTGTAGGACGTCTGTTGGCTCCAACGTGTGAAGTTCAGCGGATCAGTAGCCGTGCTATCAGTCCATGTGTGGCTCAGTAAAGCTTGAATTAACTTTCTGTCCTGTTTGGTTTCGTGAAGCTCCAAAGTTGAGCCTGAAAACTGCAAATATTTGACATTTGTCCCGAAAAAAAAGACGGAAACAATATTCTGTGGTCAAAAGCTGCAGCTGTCGATTAGTTTGCTTCCAACCAATTAATGAAATCGTGATTGTTGCTCGAAATTGTGAGATTTAAGCTACGATTGAGCAGCACAGACAAAAATCTAATTTACACACAAACTCAGTGTCAATTTTGCACCTTTTTGTGTCTTTAACTGTAGCCGGTTTTGTAGCTTGTGGGGTGTTTCCGTCGATTTGGTGTATGGTTGTGTTAATTTAGCAGCTTTTTTGGTGATTTCACATCTTTTGGTTGTGGGTTTGTGTCTTGTTGTGATTAACTTTGTGGCGATTTTGTGTTGTTTTGGGTTTTTCGTGGTGGTTTTGTGTGTCTGTTTCTGTGTGGTTGATGTTTCCATCAGATGAATCCGTTAGCTGATCATTTCTACGAGCGTGTGAGACGTCTTTCATGCCATTTGGTTTTTGCATCTGTTGCGATTCTTTGCGGTGATTGTACATGTGTGTCTGTTGGTGGTGATGGTGAATCTCTGACGTCTTCCAGTCTGATGAAGTGATGGAACACAGCGTCTGTAGCTTGTCTCCAAAGTTTGCTCCTTTTTTCGCTTTTCAACACTGAATCCTGCTCAGTTTAATTAGGACAAGAATTTACAATAAGGAAGACTCTTTCATGTCAAAGTGAAAACATCCATCAATATCTGTACACCACTTAATGCTCTGTAGGGTCGTGGGGGGCGGAGCCTATCCCAGCTTACTCCAGGTGAGGCAGGTTCACCTGGACAGGTAACCAGTCTGTCACAGGGCTAAAGTGAAACCAAATTTATACAGAGTGATGTCAAATTACTAAAAATATAAAATGTAAAATAAGTAACTAAATAAGTATTAATCCCCTTTAAAGTGACTAATGTAACTCAGCTGCAGCCAGTCAGTGCCAGAAGTCCTACAGTCAGTAAATGCATCATCTGAGGTCAGTGAATGTGTCTCAGTGATTGTAGTATAAAGACTCCTGTATCTGTAAGGTCCAGTCACGGGTGGATCAGTACTGCTGGATAGAACCACACCATAAAGACTAAAGAACACTCCAAGAACTCATTATTGAAAAGCAAAGTCCAGCAGGAAGGAGACGAGAGAGGGAGGCCACCAGGACACCTATGACTCCTCTGAAGGAGAGACTGTTCATACAACAACTGGTGTCTGTTCTTCACCAGAAGACACATGAAGTCTCTGAAGAAGGTTCTCTGGTCTGAGGAGACTAGAATGGAGCTTTTTGTCCATCAGACTAGATGTAGTGGCAGCATCATGA